TGTATATAGGGTCTATGTAAGACTCAGCCTGTAAGCTTTAAGTCACAGATGGGGAAAGTACTACTGGGGGGCAGCTAATGACACTGCAGGGGTGCGGCAGGAGAGCGCGTCCTTGTCTTTAGTGAAGAAGGCACCAGTGAATCGTTCATGCTGCAGTGGATAGCTTCACTTCAATAGCCGTAGGAATGGAACTCTTTTAATTCACTGGGACACACACACATGCGCGCGCGCGCACACACACACACACACTCACCAAAGATAGGCCAAGCAGTGGAGACTTGGTTGGATGATGATGTCTGATGAAGATGTGAGATGGAGAGAAAAAGCATAGGGATAAGAGGAAACATAATATATTCTATTCATGTATGAAACTGTCGAAGCATACATAAATTTATGAAAATAAACAGACAATAAAAAAGTTTTAAATAAAGGGTAAATACAAAGTCATTTGGCTTTGAGATGCTTTAGATTTGTAGTTTCACTTAAGGTCCTTGATTGTATGCAACAGTGGGATTATAAGCATAAAACGTGATGTGAACGTAAATATACATACTATTTAGTCTTTTTGTTTGCCTTTTCAAATTTATATAAAAAGGTCTAACAGAGTATATTTTTCTACCACTCCTATTCCATAAAAAATAAACTGGAAGAACACTAGAATAGATGAAGAGCCCCTCTTCCACTCTGTAATCATTTTTTTCTGTAATTTTTCATAGCAGACACTTTTGCAAACAAAGCTGCTTGTCACACATTGTTATCCTTCTAATGTGATAATTTGACTTTATTAACAGGAACACTAAAGTAAAATACGCATTTTTATTTCCAATATGCATAAAGAAAATATAATTTATATATAACATTATGTTATATATACTAATATAATATATACTATATAATAGATACTAATATATAACATGTTATATATACTATGTTAACATATATATGTAGAATGTTATACATTAATATATTAATATGTGTATAATGTTATATTAATATGTACATTATATAGCATTATATATAATATCTACATTTTTCTTTTTAAAATTTTTTTAAAAAGAAAATAATCCTTTAAAATTATACATACCAATCTAAGTTATATATTATATATTAATTAATATGTGTATAATGCTATATTTATATATATTAATATATAAATTATGTAGCATTGTATATAATATCTATCTTTTTAATTGACATTATTACAAAGAAACAGATGTAGGTGTAATTCAGTTTACTAAAACAAGATAACCATGAAACCAATTTTATTCATTTCAAGATAAACAAAATTGCTACCTAGTGTTTAATCCCTAAGATTTAAGATGTTATAAATTTCTGGCCTGTATTTTGTGCAAACCCCTGTAAAAGCTTTATGGGCTTCTCAAACTTTGAGTGTCCACATCACCATGGGAATTGGTGCTGTCTTTGTATAGTGAATATTTGCCCCAACCCTTTGCTTTTCATTTCTTTTATCTAACCTGATGTGGGAGTGATTTCTTATTAATAAAGAAACTGCCTAGACCCATTTGATAGGCCAACCCTTAGGTAGGCGGAGTAAACAGAACGGAATGCTGGGAGAAAGAAGCTGAGTCAGGGAGTCGCCATGATTCTCCCACTCCAGACAGATGCAGGTTAAGATCATTCCTGGTAAGCCAGCTCTTGGGCTACACAGATTAATAGAAATGGGTTAGATCAATATGTAAAAGCTAGCCAATAAGAAACTGAAACTAATGGGTCAGGCAGTGTTTAAAAGAATACAGTTTCCGTGTAATTATTTCGGGTAAAGCTAGCCGGGTGGCGGGACACAGCCCGCCGCTCCGTATTTCAACAGAGTGGCTCCCAACGTGCTAATGAACTCCACGTAAAACCTGAGAGAGCTTAATTTTTATCACAGAAAAAAACAGAGTTTAACACAGCTTTTGGCTGTTTGTTGGGGGCTTGCTGTAGAGAGAGTTCCTGATTCAGCAACAGCAGCAGAAAAAAAGCTGCGTCATTTTAAAGTGTGACTTTCTGGGCTGTGCCACCATTGCTATCTCTGTCTGGCTCCTGTGGGAGACAGAGCTTTTAAATGGAACATTTGGAGTAAAGCTCTACGGCTTGCTTGATGGCAATGTGGACTGCTGTGTGCCTGGAACTGTGTGTGGCTCAGGGGCACCAAATGGCTCTGAGGCAGGAGTGGCTTGGCTCAGCTCTGCCATGCTGAACTGTGCTGGTCTCAGGCAGAAACTACCGTAATTACCATTAAAACAGCGCATTTAAGGTTTCAACTGGGCAGGACACAGGCGGTACCGTATTACCTGTACATGATGCAACTTAAGTTTTTAAGAACTGCTTAACATTTTAAAAAATGCTCCTGGATAGTAAAAAAAATGTTACAGATTCACAATAAAACAGATTCAGACATAACAGACCTCAGTGGATCACAGTGTTGGATGAATGTACATAGGCTTGAGAGAGAGAAGAATAAGAATATAGAGAATAAAGTAAATGTCTTAAAAAAAAGGGTAAAGTCTTTAAAGAGACAGAGTACAGATAGTTAAGAGATTAAAAAAAATAAAGAAAAATAAGCCACGTAAAAATGAAAAATTCACAGAGAGTCTGGATTATGTACATTGTGTTTTCTTTAAATTTTTTGACGGTGAAGGAGCTAAGTACAGAGAGACATTTCATTATATGGGCTGCCAAGTGTAACCAGAACGGATATCATGAGGGTATGACTTCAGAATTTGGGTCTAAGGATATGATGCTTTGGAAAGGTCTTCTTTTGTTTTCACAGAGGACCAGACCCTATGGATTACATCTATCCCGATATGGTATGATAGACCACGACCTCCCGAAAAGTTCCTGTGAACACCCTCAAAAAATTACTTCACTCAACTGGCAACTGAGATAAACCTGGCACAGAGGTTACACCCTAAATGATCTGATTAACAGCGCCCCCATTCAGCAGGAAGCAGTTTGGAGAGAAAAAACTGCGCCCATGTTCCCAAAATATTGTTTGTAAATGTTCTTTTACATTTAAAGGGGGAAATGATATAGGTATGAGTAATTTGCATTGGTGTGGATTTTACAGTCAATTTTGTTATATGTATATGTATTTCTGATTTTGATTAAGGTATTGTGATTGTGTAGTTCATTTAAATATGTACTGTATAATTAAGAAATATAGGTTATGGATAATCATTAGTAATAGTCAAGCTTGTAGTCATGTTAGTTAGATTTTCTAGATATATAGAGATACATTTCAGTTAGATAGACATTCTTCATATCTTTCAAAGACTGCAGAATATGGCATTTAATGTTTTAATAACTTAGGACTTTTCATGACAATGAGACACGTCTGCTCCTGGCAGCACCAATCTACTTCGAGAGGAAGATGGGCATCGAAGAGGATCCTTATGGAGTTTGATAGCCATTTGGGCAAGAAACTGCTCTTGCCTGGACTGTTGCATAAAATGGACACAGAGAACCCGCAGAGAGAGGACTGCTAAACTTGCCTAAAGGTAAGATGGTCTTTCGGGGTTCATGACTCATGAAAGAGTCTGCGAGACATTCTGCAGGACACAGCAGATAGTGACTGAACTGTCTTTGGAATTTCCTGCTTCATGGAAATATCTGCTGGATACTTTGGGCCTGAAGGCTGAAGACGGATGCCCCAACGGTACAAAAGAACTTTGGGTGACTGTCCAGGTAGCGAGATGTCTCTGTCATTTCTAGAGTTTTCTTATTTCTTGTTTACTTAGGTAGTATTATATCCTTCTGGAGTCTTTGATGGAGTTGAAGAATGAATAGATAGTTATAGTTTTCCTTAGTTATGATAAAAGATAAAATAGATATAAATATTGTAACTGTAATTCTTGCTTGATAACTGTTTTGCTATATGTAATTTTACTATGTTAAAGTTAAAGCCTTTCTTTTTTGTTTAAACAGAAAAAGGGGAAATGATGTGGGAGTGATTTCTTATTAATAAAGAAACTGCCTAGACCCATTTGATAGGCCAACCCTTAGGTAGGCGGAGTAAACAGAACGGAATGCTGGGAGAAAGAAGCTGAGTCAGGGAGTCGCCATGATTCTCCCACTCCAGACAGACGCAGGTTAAGATCATTCCTGGTAAGCCAGCTCTTGGGCTACACAGATTAATAGAAATGGGTTAGATCAATATGTAAAAGCTAGCCAATAAGAAACTGAAACTAATGGGTCAGGCAGTGTTTAAAAGAATACAGTTTCCGTGTAATTATTTCGGGTAAAGCTAGCCGGGTGGCGGGACACAGCCCGCCGCTCCATATTTCAACACTAACCTAACTTCCCACAGACTTTTCAAGCCTACTGAATCTGTTTATATGTATCTTCAATTCCTCTATATGCATTGACTGTCTATAGACACTTGCTCGCTAATTGTAGTAGGAGCTGCGGGCCTCTTCCCACAGCCCAGCTCCTGGCCACCTGGCTTGCTTATGCCCCGAAATAACAACACACAAACTGTATTCTTTTACACACTGCTTGGCCCATTAGCTCTAGCCCTTACTGACTAATTCTCATATCCCAATCAACCCATCTCTAATAATCTGTGTAGCACCAGTCTTACCGGGAAAGATTCAGCATGTCTGACCTGGTGGCTTGCTTCATCGTGTCTGCCCCAGAGAGCAGAGCTATTGAGTCTGAGCTCACTTCCTCTTCCTCCCAGCGTTCTGTTCTGTTTACTCCACCCACCTATGTTCTAACCTATAAAATGGGCCAAGGCATTTTCTTTATTAGCCAGTGACCTTCCTCCATCAGCTAATGACTTCACATGGAATTATCAACGCTATTTTCAGTAACTATTTAATGATTCGCCATTGGGTTTTCAATATATTGTGACTATTGAACTTTGTAATATGAGTCAATTTCATAATTTCCACAGGTTTTATTATGGACACTAGATACATGGATTTATATTATAAAACTTTCCTAAATTTTAAAGATAGCACTATAGTGAATTTTGGCTTTTTTTTCTTCCTGAATAGGTCTGTTCAACTCTGAGAGGTGATGGATATTCTACACAGAGGAGAATTAGTTGCTGCGATACTCCGCAACCGGTATTTATGGAAACAATTTACTTTATAAGTTGTATGATTCCTCTATTTTATGTGCTTAACATAGAAGGTAATAAATATTTATTCAATGCCTAGCTTAAAAATAGGAATTACTTTTAAAATAAGTAAATAAGAGAAGAGCTAAGTGATCAGATACATAAGGAGTGTTGCTGACACTGTGTTCTGAGCTAATGATAAAGAGAGCGTACCTAGAAAACACACTGGATATAAAGTGTGAACAGCTGGCGTACAGTCGCTGGGGATTATGATTTCAAATTTTAGTTTTAAAAGCATTATCTCTGAATAAATACAATCATAGCTTCATGGTAAAAGTCCCAATAACATTTTTTAAGTAGTACTTCCCTGTGATTATACAGATATTTCTGTCACTAAAAATCCAGTTATACGCTTTCCACGGAGTTACTGTGAGCCATTAGAGCACTCCAAGGCAGGTTAAGAATTTAAATTAATGGTTTAAAGAAAAATAGACTTGTTTATGCATGTGTAAAAGAACATTTCTCCTTCCTAGTAGTTTGATTGCAGAGTTTGGGTGAAGCTTTGGAAATAGCATGTCCCACAGAGTTCTCTGTGTTCTGGTTATTTGCATGGTAGGAGCCTTGAGGAGTGTTCTTATCTGTTCTAAACTTCAATTTCATCCTCTGTGAAGTGGGGCCAGTAATGCCTCCATTGCATGCTGTAGTATGGTATGTGTATGCTTGTAATGGGTGTGAGGGGAAAGAGGGAGGGCACAGTTGGCAGCAGGCTTGGCAAATAGTAAATGGTATGGAAGTGCTAGTATTATTGAAATTTTAGTGTGGGACTTTAGTTATTAAAATGTGGCACAGCCATACAGGGGACATCGTTTCCATTAATAATAGATGCATATACAACTGGAGTCCTGTAAGTTTATAATGGAGGTGAAAAACCCTATGTAGTCACCCTAGCAACACAGGACAGTTTGTTAGGTGTGTATTTGTGAAGGTAGTGATAGAAGCGAACCTATTTTTCTGCATGTTGTATACAAGTTCACCTATTAGTTGTGTGGAAGATATAATAATTAATAATGATAATAAATGACTAAGTTACTGGATTGTGTGTTCATTATACTATACTTCTAATATTATTTTAGATTGTGATCCTATTCATATAAAAATGTTTGCTATAAATAATATACTGTGTTACAGTGACATTAACCTCATGTGGAATATTTTTACAATGTCTGTAAGGTCTGCCATCTAAGTTTGTGTAAATGTGTGGATGACTATATGCTATGTACACAGTGATAAACTTACCTAATGATTTATTTCGCAGAACATATTCCCATCATTAAGTGAGTCATAATGAATTTGTGATTCTGAATTCTGAGGTATTTTAAAATACAGTTGAATTGTAAGACAAAAAATGGGAATGGTTAAGACAGAAGTGGAACATATATAAAGTCATGGCTATTTGATGTATAGTATATAATGGGTTTTACATAACAATCCCATTAAGTAATCATTTAACGGATGCTGATGTATCGGGTTGTGAACTCTCAACATCTTTGGAAGGGTGTGGTATGAATCTGTACTGGGAGACTGTAAGATATATTTGCTCAATAATGCAGAAATCAGTAAAATGAGAAAAATAATCTGTGGTCATCTTTGGTGAAAAGACAGAGAAGACTCCTACCAAAGAAGCAGGTAGGTTAAGTGCAGATCTTCACCTTTTCCTTCCCTCCTCCAAACCAATCCCCCTAGTTTTCTCCCCAGCCCTGTAGCAGACCACCTACTGCGGCCTTCTATCCTCTTCCCCTGTTTTCGGTGGATCAAACAGATATTCCCCTCCAAACTTCCTCCCGGACCCCACACTCGATTCTTTTTTTTTTTTTCAATTTTGAAGATTTTATTTTTCTTTCTGACCACGTATACATGTAGCAGGAGTGGACATGCTGTGCTTGTGAGACCAGTATCTCTGGAGCCCAGAACGGGCCATTGGATGCCTTAGGACTGGAGGTACAGCAAGTTGGAAGGCATCATGAGTGCTAAGAATTGAACTCCTCAATTCTCTGCAAGGGGCCTTCTGAGTCATCTCTCCAGCCCCCTCAAACATAAATTTCACAGAACATTAAGTCAGCATGAATTCTTTGAAAGGATATGTTTTTCTTAGAAGTTTTCTTAAGCTATCTGAGAAAGATTCCTAATTACAAACTCTAGAGAAACCACTTCATTTATCACAGCCTCCAGCTCCCGCATGCATTCGTGGGAACCAGCAGGCACTGTGGATCGTCACCGCTCCTTCCTCACTCCAGATCCCATGTGCCACTCTCCCCCCAACTCTGTAGCAGACCACTGTTGCAACCTTCCTCTCCCTGCAGCCTCCACTTGTTGCAACCTTCCTCTCCCTGCAGCCTCCCGCTCCAGTGGATCACACAGATCTGATCCAAACTTCCTACCAGTTCATCCTGTGAGCTCAGCCCCCCCCCCCCTGTGTCCAGCAGGCATTCCCTAGGAACCTACCAGCTAAGCCTGCGAAAGATGCAGTATGTCAGCTAGACAGGTAGCACACTTCAGATCTTCACTCTCCCTCCTCTCCTCCACATTCGATCCTTCAGTTGCGCCCCCAGCTCTGTAACTCACTACCTCTTGTAACTTCTCATGTTCTGCCCCCTTACTAGGGCACTGAGCAGATTCTGGTAAACACGTTGCTTTCCTGCTTCCTGAGTGGGCTCCATAAGACCCATCTAGTCCTTTCCTAAGTATGAGCACTCAATACTTAGAAACACATTTTACCTGGAATTCTCATTGACCGCACCTATCAGGATCCCAAAAGAATTCCCTACCAGGCAACACAGAGCCACCACACACTCCAAAGAACCGGAGAGGGCAACAGAAACCACAAAACACTGACCCAAGAAAGATAAGACCAGATACCAACACCTAGAATTGGTATTCCCAAACCCAGGTGCCTACACCAGCATAAAAATACAATCAATCACACTCAGGACAATATGATTCCACTAGAGTCCTGCAACCCTACCATAGCGGACCCTGAGAACTGCAACACAGCTGAAGCCCAAGACAAGGACCTTAAAAGAGCCTTTATGGATATGATAGAGGCCCTTAAAGAGGAAACTAATAAATCCCTTTAAAAATCTATGAAAACACAAACAACAGTGGAAGGAAATGAGTAAAATAGTTTAAGACCTGGAAGTGCGAATCACATCAGTGAAGAACACCCAAAGTGAGAAAAAGCTGGAAATGAAAAATTTAAGAGCTTGAACAGGAGCTTCAAAGGTAAGCCTGACCAACGGAATACAAGAGATGGAAGAGAGATTCCTGGACATTGAAGAGTAGTGAGAGAAGAAATGGATACCTCAATTAAAGAAAATGTTAAATCTTTAAAAATCCTGGCACAAAACATCCAGGAGATATGGGACACTATGAAAAGACCAAATCTAAGAAAAATAGGAATGCAGGCAGGGGAAGAAACCCAGGTTAAAGGCATAGAAAATGTTTTTATCAAAATCATAGATGAAAGTTTTTCTATGCCTATCAAGGTGCAAGAAGCATACAGAACACTAGAAGACTCAGCCAGAAAAGAAAGTCCTCTCAGCACATAATAATCAAAACACTGAACACACAGAACAAAGAAAGAATATTAAAAGCTGCAAAGGAAAAAGATCAAGTAGCATGTAAAGGGAGAACTATTACAATTATATCTGACTTCTAAATAGAGACTAAAGCCAGAAGGGCCTGGACAAATGTGTTCCAGACTCTTAAGAGACCACAGATGCCAGTCCAAACTAGCAAAACTGTTGTGATTGCTATTCTTGGTTATCAGTTTGACTACATATGGAATTAAATAAAACCCCAAAATAGAGGACACACATGTGAGGGATTTTGGCTTAATTTTAATTAGGAAGATTTACTTCTAATTCAGATCTTTGAGGTAAGAAGACACATATTTTTTTTTATTGAGAAAAGGAAAAAAAACAAGTTTCCGCCTCCTCCCAGCCTCCCATTTCCCTCCCCCTCCTCCCACTCTTCTCCCCCTCCTCCCACCCTTCTCCCCCTCCCCCCACTCCTCTCCCCCTCCCTCTCCAGTCCAAAGAGCAGTCAGGGTTCCCTGCCCTGTGGTAAGAAGACACATATTTAATCCAGATATTAAAGCAAGGAGACACACCTTTAATCCAGATCTAATCTGGGCCACACCTTTTACTGGAAACCTGTATAGGGACATGGGAGGAAAAAAAGCTTTTGCTCTTTGCCCGCTTGGTCTTGCCTTGCTAGCAAGTCCTTACTTTCACTGACATTAGAACCTGCTTCTTCAGAATTACATTGTATACCGAACAATAGCTGAGACACCTAGCAGTGTAGACTGAGCAACTACTGTATTCTTGGAGTTTCTGTCTTTACCCAACTAGTGGTGGATTAGCTAGACCACAGTTTGTAAGTCATTCTAATAGATCCCCCTTCTCTCTGGACACAAAGCAGGTCTCTACAAATACAAGAAAATTGAAATAAAACCTTGCATCTTCTTTGGCCACCATCGATTAGCTGGATATCCACAACATCAGAAACAACAGAAAGTTTACAAAGCCATGGAAACTGAACAATTCACTGCTAAAGGATCAATTCATTAAAACAGAAATTCAGAAAGAAATTAAAAACGTTCTAGAAGTGAGTGAAAGTAAGTACACAGAACACCCAAACTTACAGAAAACAATGGAGGCAGTTCTAAGAGGCAAGTTATAACAGCAAGTGCCTATAGAAAAGTTTGGAGGGATCTCATACTAGTAGCAAAATATCTAAAAACTCTAGAACAAAAATAAGAAACCACACCTAAAATGAGCAGACAGCAAGAAATAAACTCTGAGCTGAAGTCAATAAAATAAATAACAAGTAACCAATACAAAGACTCAATTAGCAAAGATTTCATTCTTTTAGAAAATCAGTAAGATTTCACAATTAGCTAAGAGTCAGAGAAATAATAAAATTAGAAATGGAATGGGGTACATAACA